CACTACTTGACGAAAATGATGAAAAAAATTAGTTCAACATTTATATTTTCTCTTTACGCGCCTTTGCCTTGCCTTTGCTCATTGTTCTGGTTTTTCAATGGAGTATGTGAACTGATACTTGTTTCACCAATAGAATATAAGACACATATTCTCCTGGTACTGGTTTTATCATTGAAAAACGGTATATGACACGCGTAAATTTTCCAAAAATCACTCCTACTAATTACAATTTGAAATACATTCAGGAGAATTTCTAAAGAAAACTATATTTTACGATAGACAAATGCAAATAGTGGAACTTTTCGAGATTTTACTGAATGCGTGGGGTTTCCCGCGCAAAAATTCTCCTAATCTCGCTAAACGGAAGGACGGTATAGCCATTATACTATGGTAAAGCCGGTTGGTTAGCGTGAGTGGTACGTTCAAATCATTCAGTCGACAGCTATTTGAAAGGTGGTTCGAGTCCGATGTTCATAAACTCGATTTTCACTGGGATTTCGGTCGGTAGCCAAGCGGTTCGACGTGGTTGCTTTGTTCGTTCACTCGAATTGACTGCCGTGTTGGTCGGTGGTTCAAGCCGTAGTCTGAACGATCGATTTTCACTTACTATCGTCCAACCCGTGCTAGGAATCACACGTTTAAAGGTAAGACCTCGTTAATCCTTAGCTTGCACAAGTTTCAACTTTTGAGGGTTGTCTTTCGTAGGGGTGCCACAGCTGGTTAACGCAAAAACAGATATTTTTTTCAAACAGAAATCATCCAAATTGTGCAGGAAATCACCTGTTAAAAAGTAATACTTCGTTAATCCACAGCTCGCAAAAGCTCCAACTCTTGAAGGTTTTCGTTCATAGGGAGACAATGGAAAAATACACGTAGATATTATGGTCTATTGTGGTTCACGCTATCAAATATATTTTCGTTCATTCCATGATTTGTCTAAAAGTTGGTCATCCTTACGAAGCAGATTGGAACTGGATTAATACGCTTATAATAAAATCCACAAAAAAAAGAGAAGTGGTTCGTAAAAACAGCTGTGTGTTGTGTTTTATTTTTGACGTTTTCGTTTTTCATTTTCAGTTTGGAGGTTGGAAATAGTATTTAATTGGTGTAGATTTTTGGCATATTTAAAATATCAATTTTCTTGATAAAGTTTAAACGTCATTTTTGGAAAGTCCATTCAAAGGAATCCCAGCCATTGATATTGAATGAGGGTAAGTTATGAATCATAGAATGGGGGCGGTATATCCATATCCCAATATTTATTATGCATATGTGAATAAAATAATAAACTACTGAACAGGTTGTCAGGTAAATCAGGTAAAATTTCAGATTTAGTTCATAAATAATAAAGTTAATCTATTAAATGTTGATAACCTTTCTTTTTTGTGACTATTAATCATGACTACAAATAAAAATTCAGCAAGTAGAATATCACGCACAGATCTTCATTTTTCAGGTAAAACAAGATATATAACATTACCAGTATGGATAAACTAAGAAGAGTACTGAGCGGTAATGATTCTGCTGATGAGGAGAGCGGTATTATGGCTCAAGTGAATGATAATTTTTGTTGACCCAAGATGAAATCTAATTTACTTTCAATTTGCATGTGAAAATGTGTAGTTCATGATTACCTGAAACAAGAATCAAACTTGTCCATGTTCAGAAATACGTATAGGTACATAACAAAGAATCTTCAACTCAATATTGGTTTACTTAAAACCATTGGACAAGTAGATTGAAGAAGTGTTCGTATGTGGTTGACATTTTCCTTTATCTGAAAACGTTGGGTTTCAATTCGATTGAAGTAAGTGCAGGATTTTTCAAACTCAAACTGATACAACCACTTATTGCTGATGAGTTTGTAACAAACAAATTGTGTCGCAGCTATATCCATTAAAATAGTGGAAATTAAAATGAATAATGGAAATATTTTTTTCAATATTTGTTTATAAAATCAGATGGGTATTGAATTTGAAGTAAGTGTATATTCTGATGACCAATTGACACGTGTTATTTCTTTAGACCAGTACCAAAATTAATGAAAAATAATCAACTTTAGTGGATAACAGATGAGGTTAAGTTACATTATAATGGATCAGATAGATATTGTTGAAGTAAAAAGCCAAAATAATGATCATGATCAGGAGCATTTATAAAACACAACAATCATGAAAATTTTCCTTCTGGCATACCGAACAAGTGATATAATCCTTTGAGCTTTAGTTTTAAACTTTTCTGAAATGGAAAATACCTTATTTTCATAGTGTGTTAACTCCACCTATAACTCGACCTGTTTAGAAAATTGTTGATTGACAGTAGAAATAGTTCCAAAACTAGAAATAGTAGCAATTTTGCACTAACTATCTTACATGGACATCATTATACACAGATACAGATAATTTATTCATCGTTAAAGTTGTTTACACAATGGTACAAAACTTTATAGAACTCACAAGAGAATATGAAAAACTCACAGACAATCTTTATATACATACAAAACTACTATTAGCATCAAACAGTGAGGTACTTCCTCTATTGTATAAAAAGTATTTTCATTTAGGTAATTGAATAATGTTGTTTTGAAGGTATTAAAAATTTGTTATCTCACCAAAGATCCTATTGAAGCGGTTATTATAACATGAAATTCCTTGGTATTTTGGAGAATTCTGTCCCACACTAAGGCTAGAGAATAATAAGCGAATGTCATTTTTATTCCGTGTTTGGTGTTGGTGAATTTCACTACTATTCATGTAGGTATCTTGCTCTTTTTTAATATTCACAATTAGAAGATTAATATAAAGTGATGGTAAAGTTAGAATTGACAATGACTTGAAATGGGCTTTACAAGATATATTATTTCGAACTCCCATCATGCATCTTATGATTTTCTTCTGCGCAATGAATACTTTATCGATATGTGTTGAATTACCCCAGATGATCAAGCGATATGTGAGTGCCGAAGACACTAGACCATCATATGCCATTCTGAGAACCTCTGTAGATATAGTGTCCTTCAGTTGTCTGATAAAAAAATTTATACCACTCAGATTGATACTACCAGATTTTTGATATGGGTTCTCAATGTCAGTTTCTCATCAATTGTTACACCCAGAAATTTCATGTTTGTTACTTACTCAATTGACTTATGATTTATTTTGAGTCACAGCTAATATTTTTTGTCAAAAAACCATGAAGTATGTTTAAGAAGCATTTAAAATTAATCCATTATTCAGGCACCATTGAAAGAATTCCTCAGCGCATACATTACTCAGATAAATGCTTATGTCCAAATTATCTTGAGATATCATATGATTTGTATCGTCGGCAATTTTTGTAGTTGGATGGTGCTTCCACTTTCAGTTGGTCCACACGAATCAAAGGCTTTTTAGCATGTTTCATAGTTGGCATTCTTCTATCATTTTTGGGTTCATTTGCCTTATTTTTACATAAAGGCTTAACAGTATTTGCAGTATTTTATACACTTGGAAATATTACCTCAATACTCAGTACATGTTTTCTTATGGGCCCTTTCAATCAGATCAAGAAAATGTTTGCTCCCAATAGATGTATTGCTACAATATTAGTGATAGTTTCTTTTACGCTGACACTGATTTCAGCTTTAGTGGTGAGTACAATTGCTAGATGTTGCTTTTACATTTTTTATCAATTATTATTTTTAGTTGCATAAGGCTGGTCTGGCACTTTTATTTATCATCATACAGTCCCTGGCAATGACCTGGTACTCCTTATCTTATATACCGTATGCAAGAGATGCTGTTAAGAAAACAGTAATGACCTGTGTGGTATGATAATTAGGTGAAAATGTGTCTCGCGTAGATTTTAACAGGGCGTATTCAAAATTTCACCAGTGATTGTTATTTATATTTGAGGGAACAAGATTCTTGAAAACTTGTGGAGCATTATATACTAGGGTGATCCCAGAAGTCCCCAGCCCAACAACACGAAGCTATTTTTTCATGTTTGGGAACAGAAAATAATCCGAGGGGGCTAAATCTAGCGAATGGGGTGCATGAGGTAGCAATTCAAACTTTAATTTGTTGATTTTGGTCATTGCGACGATGGATTTGTGAGCTTGATGAAACAACACTTTTTTCTTAGCCAACTGCGGCTGTTTTTGCTTGAATTCGTCACTCAAATGTTGCATAATACTCGCCATCGATAGTTTTACTTTTTTAAGATAGTCAATGAAAATTATCCCACCCGCATCCCAAAAAACCGATGCCATTACCTTACCTGCAGGTGGAAACGGTCTTCTCCTTTGTAGCCGGTTCTCCCTTTTGAGTCCACTGTTTTGATTGTTCTTTTGTGTGGGGTGTAAAGTGATGGACCCATGTTTCATCCATGTTTATGAAATGACGCAAGAATTCTGCTTTGTAGCAGTGAAACTTCGTAAACACTCAATTGAAACATCTTTACGACATTGCTTTTGCTCGAGAGCGAGCAAACACGCCACCCATCTTTCACACAGCTTTCTTAAGTCCAAATTTTCAGATAATATATGATCTACCGCACTTTTTGAATTGCCATCTCGCGCACTTTCAGTCGACGATCATTCAGTAACGCTTTGTTAATTTTCTTCACCGTTTTTGGAGTCGTTACCTGATTTGGTTTACAACTGCGATCCTTGTCTTGACAGCTCTTACGGCCTGGTTTAAACTCTGCTCCCCAATATTTTACTGTTGTAAAAGAAGGAGCACTCACCCAGAGTAGAACCCAGTTCAGCTTTTATATCGGTTGGGCCGAGTTCTTTCAAATAAAAGTATTTCCATTTTCACAAATTCACCGAAAAGGTTCGCTGAAAGCTGCCAAGCGAATACTAAACAACGCAGCGTCTTCAAACTTGAAGCATGCTGTATAGATTGTGTACTTTATAATATACTGATATTTTTCAAACTACTACAGCCATCTTTAGGTCAGCCCGTGTACTTCTGGGACTACCCTCGTATATGGCGCTATATTTCAAGAACCAAACCATTTTAATTGTTATGTTTTTGTTGAATCACTTGAAATTTATTGTGTAGTCATAAAACAGTGTATGATCCTAGTCTATAAGCCAATCTGGCAAATATTTTATATTTCAGAAATAATGTAGCAAGTTATATCAACCGAAGTATTTCATCATCATTTCTATATCATGTAAAAATTTATATCCAGAAAAAATTATTTGTGCCTTTCTCCATTGATGTGTTCTCGAGTTTTCCATTGGTACAAAATGAACAATTTTTATTTATGTATTTTCACTTTTGGTAGCTTCTCTGAAACAATATTTTCCATACAAAATCAATATTGATTCTCTTCATATTTCAATTGTGAAAAAAGTGATGAGATTTTGGAAGGGTTCAACCAACGGGGATGAAGATTTCAGTTAATATCAGTTTCTTTGTGAGCCTTAGGCTGAGCATATAACTATTTGCCTGTCCTCTATTCAATATTAGGAGGTACAATTCAACAGTATGAAATTATAATTGGTATATGATTTATTATTAGAAGTATTGTACAGATTTTCTATAAGACTGGGCTAATAGAGCCAAAATATAAAACTGAGGAAGAGATCTATGTCTATTTTATGATGATGTTTGTGAAATAAATATGATTTGCTAATAAATTTGTTTTAATTATTCATTCAACATCTCCATAATTAAATTCCAATAATTCATGGAGAATTGGAATTTCCACTGTTATTTAAATCATCTGAATTTTATTGATAGGTCTCAACGAGGAATGGGAAGAAATTCAAAAAATGAGTGGTGAGGTGGATTATCATAATTTATATTGAAAGTTTGTAAAAAAAGGTATCTTTTTGAAAAACTTCTTGCTTTTGTCCTACTCCATCAATTCATAAAAGATGGAAATTTCAACCTTTTCTCTATTCATTAGACTGCACAACGCAGCGGTGAGATTTTAGCTCTGTCAGACGCAGACGTAGCATATTACGAAGGAACGAAACACTGATTTGGATGTTTTCAATACAAATGTGTTTGAAACCGCATAATACTCACTACCAGAGCAATTAATTGGCGCTCCAAGGCGACTTCATTGATTCCAGTGGCGCATTTGCTTTTTCGTAAAAAAATAGTTGTTTACATGATGAGATCACAAACCAATTTAAAAAATTATGGGCAACATGTGGGTTTTCTAGTAAGGCTGGTATGTCTGCCACCGTGATCGTAAAGAACGCAGGATTGCAGTGGCATTTCCCTAGACGTGAGGAGTTGTCTAAATGAAACAATCTTAATGATAATACGAACAGAAAGAGGAAAAAGAAAACAACTTTCAGTATAAAGGTGAATAGGAGTATCAGCCAAGGTTGTTTTTCATAAACTTCATAAACTAATTTAAAAATTATCAAATAATAAACTTAACTTATATGCCATAACTTTCATGTCCTCGTGATGAAAAATATAAAAAAAATTAATATGGGCAACATGTGGGTCATCTAGTACTCATTCAATCGATCTTCAGGTAAAGGTGGTTTGTGCTGCGAGGCCAAACGATCGATTTTCACTGCCTATCATCCAATACGTGCTAGGAAACACACATTAAGATGCAAGACCTAGTTAATCCTCAACTCGCGCAAGTTCCAACTTTTGAGGGTTGTCATTCGTAGAGGAGCGACAGCTGGTTAACGGAAAAACAGATTATTTTTCTACGGATCCGAGTTTTCCCTGCTTTATTGAAGTTGTTTTTATGTTAATGGCTTTCAGTGATTTCAGATCACTATACAGATGCTATCTCTTAAACCTGGGTATTCTCACATTCCTTTGTTATTAGCTTGCAATAGTATTGAGCCTTTATTAACAAATAGTTTTTGAAGAAAAATTTTGAATATAATTCAGAATCCTCCCTCAAAACCGAATCCGGGTGAATTTGATTCCCACAGACTGTATTGTATTATATTTAACTAGTTATAAGTTTTATGTATCCTAATAATTTGAAATCCCTTTTCGACTTTTCTTAAGTTATTTGACACTAGATAAATATTGGTTATTCATAGGGTTAGCTCGCATTAGTTTCTAGTTTTAATCTTCCTCTTTGAAGATGATCACTTGGTGATCGAAACACGTGTCGAGGTGTTAAAAATAACGATTTGGTGTTGGGAAAAAACTCCGGTAATATTCAAACTTAGCAAATAAAAAACCATCTACCGGGTCTGTTCAAAAACTAAGGTGAATGTTCAAATTTCGCGGGCGACGTACGTTCGATTAGCTTTTTTTCTTTATTTTTTTAAGTTGGTACACTCGTCTCGAACATATGAGGTTTCAGCTGTTTAGGATGTTTAGTTTGTTGGTCCCGTGGCTTAGGCTACTTATCGGGCGCGTCCCCAGGTGGCAGATAGGGGAATGGCGAGGGGACTAGAAGCCCTGTCCGGGAAGCCAATGTGGCCCTACGGACGGGGTCGACGGCCCCCTGGTCAGTGGTAGAAATGAGTAGGGCGAGGGGAACTAAAGCTCCCCAAAAGCCTTTGCAAAACATGCCTACCCAAGCTAAGGTGAAGCTATCGTGCCGACAGCTGAATGGCCGCAGGGTGATATGCTGTCACGAACGATCCCCTTGGGGAACTGGGCGAAACCTTATTGTAATCAGCCTACCAATGGTAATGCGGGGCTCTGCCAGAGGTAACCAACTTTTCTCTTGCTACTCATTCACTCATGAATGAAACAAAAACAGAAACAACAAAACAAAAACCAATCCCGAGGCTGGACAGAAGTGCTCACCTCAATCTAAGGCGGTGGCTGGTGATGAACAGGAATGTCCACCCCAATCTACCGCTTGTAATGAGGCTGGACATAGCAGATCACCTCGTTATGTAATACAAAGGCGAAGGCGCAAGCGCATTTGCGGCGCCGAGGTCAAAGAGAGAGAGAGACAGAGAGCAAAGGAGGCAGGAGTGGCAGCAACTATAAGTGCACCCTCCTCCTCCCCCACTCCACCTCCAATGGCAAGGGCACTTCCTGCGGCGGGCGCCAAAAGCTCCGTCTTGAATAAAGGCAAGGAACCGGCTGCCCCTGCAGGAAAGCTCCCTCACTTGTGCACCTCCACGGAGGGAATCCCAAGGAGGTTGAAGAAGCCGCGCAACGACAGTAATGTCGCTGCACCTTCCAAAACCTTCGCGTAGGCCACCGTGAGACACCTCAAGGTTGCCAAAGAGAGTATTTGTTCGGCGAGTCTTGGCCTACACCTGCCAATATAAAAGAGATGTCTCCTATTGACCTGTCCACCTTCCTGGAAAGGACAGGATGGACGATGACCTAGGAGGACAACTCCTCGGGAGGATGTTTAATGGGTCACTCTACAGATACAGATAGTTTGTTGGTGAGAGGCATAAAAGTCAGGACTGTTTTGCGTGTTCGGCGATTTTCTGCTATCGAACAAATGGATCAAAGAATTTGCACCAAATTTTGTGGAAAACTATGACAGTGGCATACGGTGATGATACTCTTAAGTCAAAAAATGTTCACAAGTAATACAAGCTTTTGACAGAAAGTCGGGAAGATATGAACCGATAAAAATATTGAGAAAGTGAAGAAAATTGATATGTAAAATTATCAAATCACTATTAGAGAAGTTGCTGAAGATGTCGGTATATCGGTTGGCTCATGGGGATGAAGCGTATGACAGCAAAGTTCATTCCAAAATTGCCGAATTTTGACCAAAAAACCGTCGCAGGGTCATAATTCATGACATCAAAACCCATGTAGAGCGAAGACCGAAAAAATCACGCCAAGTTCGATCAAATGACAAGGTTTCGCTCACTGTTTTCTTCGGTAATTGTGACGTAGTGCTTCAGGAATTCTTGGCACATAGTCGTACGGTCAATATGGAGTATCATCTTGAAGTCGTTCGCTGCTTGTGAGAAGCAATACGAAGAAAACGTCCGGTATTGTGGAAGAACAATCAATGATTTTTGCATCAAGATAATGCACCTGCTCACTCGTCCTTGTTTGGTTGAAAAAAAAAAACGTAATTATGCCTCAGCCATCGTAACCACCAGATTAACCTCCCTGCGATTTTTCCCCTTCCTAAGACCTATGAAAGGACGGCGTTTTGCGACGATAGAGTTGATAAAATCAAATCGATGAGAGAGCTCAAGAATATACTGCTTCGAGGATTGGAAGAAACGCTGGCACAACCGTATTATTTCGAGGAGGACTACTTTGAAAGGGACAATATATTAATTTTTTTAACAGACCTCATACTCCAGATCACTAAGCTTAAGGATTGAGTGGGGAATGGGAAAAAATACCAGCGTGATCCAAACAGAACTGGCTGGTACCGGAGTTATCGTCAATAAGAGAGTGTGTGTTCGGCGAGTCTTGGCCTACACCTGCCGATATAAAGGAAATGTCTCCCAGCGACCTGTCCACCTTTCTGGAAAGGACAGGATGGACGATGACCTAGGAGGACAACTCCTCGGGAGGATGTACAATGAATCACATGTGTCCTAAACGAATAGAATACGACATAGAACTATGGATTTTAACAAAGCAGATGTTTAAAATGTTCACCGCAATCGTCTTGGCAATATCCAAATCTCAAATAAAACTGTCTTCTAACATTATTTAACATATCAGGCGTGACCGACCTAATCGCAAGCGTTATTCGTTCTTTTGAGTCATTCAAATCTGAAGATTTAGTTTTGTACACATATCTCGATGAAAAATCTAATGATGAAAGATCAGGTAATCGCGCTGACCATTCAATCGATCCTCGCCTCCCTATCCACCGATTGGGAAATGTTGTATCGGTATTGCCGGACATTAACTTGGTAATGGAGCACTACCGCTCCATCTTGCTGAAATCATATCGTATTCACTGGAACTTGAAGGTTTCCTGAAATCAGGATATGAATTTTTTAAACTTGGAATGACATCATTTTGAAGTAGTGCCAAATAATTATTGCCATTCAAGTTGCCCTCAATGAAAAAGGGACCAATGATATGGTTTCCTACAATCCCTGTCCAAACCTTTGAGGATATCGCGTGTGTTCTCTCATCCAGTGAGGATTTGCAATTTTGCCGATTAGCATGACTGTTAAGAGGCAAAATACACTCATCAGAAAACATAACGTCTTCTAATTGGATATTGTGATCCAACATGTCTTTCATTTGCTCACAAAAATAAGTTCTATCAAAATCGTCTTCCATGAGCTCCTAGGTAGGTATCATTTTATAGGGATGCATTTTATTTTCTTTTAATATGTTTACTCTCGATGTATGACTAACATTGAATATAGTGGATGCCTGTCTACTCGATGTATATGGGTTTTCCTCAAACTCAAGCATCACATCTGATTTGAGTTCATCACTCATTGCATTGGCAGCTGCTTTTTTTATCTGCCCCACATGACCAAGCTCGCGAAACTGTTTTTCTACTTTGCTTATTGTTCCTCGAGATATGGGCGTTAAATTAGAAAATTTCTCATGAAAGAGGCGAGCTACTTCCTGTTGTGTTCGGGTTTTATCTCCGTAACCAATCATTTGTAAAACTGTTATTTTATGCATTTTCGTTAATCTAACAATTTGTCAGACTTGAAGTTAACTTACTTTAAATCTAAATCAAAATACTGACAACTAATGTTGTAACATACAAAACAAGTGGACAAGGCGTTTTAAAATAACGTTGCCACGGAAATTATTTACAGTTTTTTAAAGGATTATTATCCAAAAAGAACATTGCTATGGTTTTTGCTTACTTTCTTATTAGCATTACTTCAATATGAATTGAAAGGGGTTATATTTTTAGGAGTGATCAATTTTTGGGAAAGAAAGATTTTGGCTTTCTACTACTCCATCTGATACATTATATGAACTTATGATGCACTGTATGGAACCTTTGGTGTAGTAATGAATATTACTGGAGTTTTTTTTTCCCAACACCAAATCGTTATTTTTAAAACCTCGACACGTGTTTCGATCACCAAGTGATCATCTTCAAAGAGGAAGATTTAATCTTCCTCTTAAGGAAGGAAGATTGAATCTTCCTCTTAAGGAAGATTGAATCTTCCTCTTAAGGAAGATTGAATCTTCCTCTTAAGGAAGGATCTTCCTCTTAAGGGAGGAAGATTTAATCTTCCTCTTTGAAGATGATCACTTGGTGATCGAAACACGTGTCGAGGTGTTGAAAATAACGGTTTGGTGTTGAGGAAAAAACTCCACATTAATATTCACCTCAATGTGAAATAAGTTTTGAGTGTATTTTATCGAATTTCGATAACCACATGATATTATTTTATCTTTATTGTTGCAAAGAACTTGAAAGCGATAACATTTTTAATAGAGAATGAAGAGACCTTTCAAACGATATATCACAAGCCTATACTTCCCATTTAATATATTTCCAAACTTTAAATGACTCAATATTTTTAAACTTGAAATCAACATTTTTTTTCAACCTCAAATTCACATTCCTTCCTAAAACAGCATTTACTTTTAAACCTCCAAAGGTTAACCCAAATAGTATTCGTTATTAGGTGAAACCACTATTCGGCACATCTCTAATTAAAATCTAGAGACAATAATCATATAGAAGATTTTCCATTAAAAAGAGTATCATTTCAAAAAGTTGTCTAGAATCTAGAGACAATAATCATATAGAAGATTTTCCATTAAAAAGAGTATCATTTCAAAAAGTTGTCTAGAATATTGAAATAATGACAGAAAGTGAATATGAAAAATGTTTGGTGATACAGAAAGTAAAGAACAATTTATTTACCTCATTAGAATCATTGACTATTGGTAAGTGCCTCAATCCAAGAGCTCTAAATAAACGGAACATTCTTGGTAAAGACGAAGACTGAAAAAAATACATATAAAAACATTCGTTTTAGTTCAGTTCACTTCATTCCTAGTGAAAAACTTACATGAAGCACAGTATATGGAGATGGATTCATAAAGGGTCTCAAATCAATAAAATATGTTTTTTCTTGTTCTGTCAAGTGAATTTTCTGAAATGAATCAAATTAATTGCAAGTAATTACCAAATGAAGCTACGTACATCAATCGTTGGATATCTTGGGTATTGATTTCTGAAAAATGAAGCCGTTATATTGTCCCAATCGTCTGAAGTCTCATTGAATATTTTGCTTTGTAGAATAACAATCAGCTGAGATCGTAATATCAAACCACGTATTCGACCATAAGTGGTGACTTCAGACTGGAAAAGTACGAAAAACACCACATGTAATATAGAACTTTATCAAAAATAAAAGGTTCACCTGATCAGATAGAGGTGGATCTACTACAGGGAAACCATTATAGGTAGTCAATTTCAGTAGTTCCACAATATGTCCAACATTTTCAACACATCTCAGCGTTACCACAGGATGAGACATAACCTCACTTGCATATATATTATATACTAGTGGCGGAGGTTCCCAAGGTAGTAAAGGAACCCCTGACAACTGTATCAGCGTATCATATATTCCCTGAAAAATGAGATACATTGCAAGATGAACTGAAATACTCTTTATTCTTAAAACTATTGACAAAAACTGTTCCCAAACACCAGAACTGCAACACTCTGCTTGACGCGCATCGTGAAGTTGAAGTCTACTTCATCTCCTGAAGACAGAAGTGAAACGCGCATCGAAAAGAGTGTTGCAGTTCTGGTGTTTAAGAACAGTAGTTATTTTGGTTTTAATCTCTGCCTGATGTACGAGTTCTACCTTCAATATACTCAATCTTTTACTTGAATAATTACACTAGAATTGGATTATTCATACACATTAGTTATTCAGTTCTAGAAAACAATAATAAAAGTAAAAATTAAGGTTTTACTTATACAGCCATTAATCTTAGTATCTATAATGATGACTTCAGAGCTGCTTCATTTCAATTTTTAGACAATTAACATTATATCAAAAAAATTTAATTCTGGTTATCAACAAACAGTATTGTTTACAGCTCAAGTGTTTTATTAAAAGTCACTATTAAATTTCTTGCTGGTGTTTAATGTCTTGCATAATGAAGAACAATAGTGAGGAATTGCGTGTTCCTGACGATATTGAAGAGGCTGCAAAAAGAGCTTCAATAGAATTGTTACTAAAAAAATCGGCTCAGCAATACGACATCGCACATTCTAATTTTCTTAGCTGGTGTAGACTTGAAAACGTCAAAGGAAATTTCAGCGAAACCGTCTTCTTAGCCTATCTAGAATAGAAACCATAAATATGGAACTCGTCAACTTTGTGGAGCAAGTTTTCAATGATAAAGACGAGTGCGCTCGTTAAAAATGGTGTTGATACAAGCAAATATTTCAAAGTAATAGCATTCTTAAACTAGACCTAGGTTAATCTTCCTCTTTGAAGATGATCACTTGGTGATCGAAACACGTGTCGAGGTGTTAAAAATAACGATTTGGTGTTGGGAAAAAACTCCAGTAATAAATATATAACACCTACTCCCATTCATGCCGGTTGGAGGCCGAGGTGGACCGGATGTTCATGTGAGAGTAGGATCAGAACAATTGAATATATATGAAGAAGATGATGATTTAATACGTGTTGTATATGTTAAATAGTGAATGAAAATATATTAAGACAAAAATGGAGTACGGTATTGTGTAAAACAAGACTCTTGTACTCCCTGGACAAATTTTTTGTTATTGTTATCACTATAATAAAAAGAGTTCTGGTCATAATAGCGCCATCTGGAAACTGGGATCAAAATTAGGAAGAAGAATAGTTTTAATAGGGTGTTGCATCCTTAACCTCGAAACGAATGAATAAAAATAATGAATAATTAATATTGAAATTAAACTGTCACTATTAAAAAATCAGGGTGCCAAAGTTCTGAAATTTTCTACACTTTCCAATAGTTGCTTCAATAGAAAAAGTTACAGAATACAGGGTTTTACCCTGGGATTTAATGCACTAAACCTTACAACTCTTGACTGAAATCCTATGTCCAGAAACTATCAAGGAACTCAAAGCTTTTCCTTTACACTCCTTCAACTAGACTCCTCTGATTCTTGAGATCCAAGACTCCAACAGTCTCCAGCAATAGCCACCTGGAACTTATGTGTAACAGTCCTGCCAGACGCATCAAAGACGATCTTCCCGCGTATACAAAACCTCTGAATATTCAACGTATGTCAAGTTCGTCGATTTTTTTATTTTTTTTTATATCCTAGTTTTTTCCAATCAATTCAATTTGTTTCACTTTCTTACCTAACAATTAGTTAAAATTGGCAAATTGAAAATATGATTTAACCTTCACATATGCAAGGTGTTTCAAATTCGATCCTCGCCACTGGAATCTCGGAAACTATGAGAGATACGAAGATGGTTAAACTGGGACAAAGTTGCGCATTTACCTGACTAACAATATGCCGTTTCTGAGTATGACATTAGTAAAAGTAGATATCTCTATCTGTACCTCACTCTGCGACATTTACTATGAAAAACAAGTCTATGACTGTACTGTATACATCAATTTGTGTATCTAACAGTGAAAAAAACAATATGGATTTTGGAGTGTCAGCATTATGATTAATTTATTTGGAGAATTGCTGCAGAAGAAGTCCAGATCTGTGTAAATGTAAAATACAAGTTGAAATTAACAAACAGGGTTTCTTTGCGTTCTGATTTTCTCGCAAACAGTATAAAATGAAAAGTTACACATTCATAAAACCAACTAGAATCATATTCATCTTACTTCATTGAAATAGTCTCCAGTCCATTTTGCCGCTATAAGTGTTATAATGAGGGGTAGGGCGAATGTTATATTCCCAGTAGTCTCCATTATTATCACAGTCAAACTTATAGTCATTCTGACAACTCCTCCTAGTTGAGCGGCAGCTCCAATCAAAGCATATTTTCCAGGATGAACTAGTTCCTTGAAAAGGGTTTAAACTGTATAATTTCATGCCACAATATTATCGATTACTCTTACAAACGTTGGAAAAACATAGGATAAACCAATAGATACCAGCCTACCCCAAGCGGCCCCCGTTAATAAAGTTGGTATAAATAGACCATTCGAAGTTGACAGTCCAAATGTCCATGAAGCAAGTAAAAAATAAACGACAACAAATGAAATGAGAGAAACAGCATTATGAGTATTAGGAGGGTCATGAAATAAAGATCGAACCGATGCCTCGGGAGTTTGAAACCATATGCTAGCTAAAACGTTGTATTGTCCATCAAGACAGTATACCTAAAAAATACGAAAACACATATAAATTATTGAATGTTAATATAAAACAGTTTTATACCTGAGTCGGATATTTTGTTGGATCTTGGCCGAGAGGTTTGCAATCATTTATTATAAACACCATGAGACAACCTGCAGTTGCACTTACAGCAGCTACAATGCAAGCCTCAATGACTTTCAACCATCTCTGTCGTATATACCTAGAATAATTGAATAAGATAGATTCTACTAAAATTTTATCGTGATTAACCTCATACGGAAAACTGTGATTTTGAAGTTGATATGGTTCCACATTGCTCCACAGAGTCCGCCAAATGCTCCCATTACCAGGAATATTGGCAATTCGAAGAATTCATAGCTGAATGAATCAAATTTACCCAAGTTGAGTAAGCCAGGGAAATTAAGATTTCCAGGAACACCGTGATATGTTGACAGAACTATGTTAAGTGTAAATGTTGACACTACTGAAGCGAAAAATGTTCGCCATGTTAAACCCTGGTTCCAAAAACTTGTTCCTTCTTCCAAACTGAATAAGACACCCCCTAAAAATGAATTTAAAATGCAGCAGTTCCTTAGATTTAGATGTGCTGAAAAACAAAACGTTTTTACCTACGGGAGCACCGAATGCTGCTGAAACACCAGCAGCAGCGCCACCTGATACAAAATCTCTTTTCTCGTGATCTTCTCGAAAGTATCGGAAAATATTAAGGTCTTTATTGAATGTACTCGATTTGCCTTGTGATATGCCAGCTGCCACTACAGCTCCTGAATGAATCATGGGACCTTCCTGGAAATGATTATTGTTGTTTAACGCTTTTAAAAACACTTTTACCACGCCTGAGCAAAATTATTGTCTTTCGACGAGCGTTTCACTTACTTTTCCTCCGGCAAGCCCTCCCACCACAGAGCAAATAACGCCAATACTTTTTACAGCTAGTGTTTTTATTCTCACTACTCTGGGAATTTTCACTCCATTCAAGTAACATTTTACTTGAGGGATTCCGCTTCCTGCTGCTATCGGTTCACCATAGGCAACTAATATCGAGCCAATTAAAACAGGAACGATATTGGAAATGACCCAAAAAAGATATGGTATGTGTAGTTTTCCTTGTGTCACATATTTGTCCATATCTAATAGTATTATTTAAGGAAAATATAATTAAATGTATAACAATTAAAACAAGTTCAGCTCATACTGTGTGGCCCATTTGAAATGGAAGCACCCTTATAAACTGTGCCCTTTTCAACGGATTGGTATGTTTTTCTTCCATTAGATAGACATTCGAGAAGTCTATTAGAATTCCATTAATACCTACCGAGCTACCGAGGGGTTGTGAGCTGCCGAAGGGGTTGTGAGCTACCGAGGGGGTCGTGAGCTGCTGAGGGGGTGTAAGCTACCAAAGGGGTTGTGAGCTACCGAAGGGGTTGTCAGCTACCGAAGGGTTTGTGTGCTACCGAAGGGTTTGTGTGCTACCGAGGGGGTTGTGAGTTGCCGAAGGGGTTGGTTGTGAGCTACCGAGGGGGTTGTGAGCTACCGAAGGGGTTCTGTGCTACCGAGGGGGTTGTGAGCTGCTGAGGGGGTGTAAGCTACCAAAGGGGTTGTGAGCTACCGAAGGGGTTGTCAACTACCGAAGGGTGTGTGTGCTACCGAGGGGGTTGTGAGCTGCCGAAGGGGTTGTGAGCTACCGAGGGGGTTGTGAGCTATCGAAGGGGTTGTGTGCTATCGAGGGGGTTGTGAGCTGCCGAGGAAGTTGTGAGCTGCCAAATAGGCGAACATCGTCTTTGAAGCTGGTCCCAAACCCGGAAAAATGGGATGAGCTTGTCTTTCTCGTTCCCACTTTACTTCAACTTGTCTTGAGTGGGATGGCTTTTATACTTGCTCCACGTCTCTCTTGACCAACTCTTGCGTTTTTCCGACCCCGACGCTACTAGGGTATCCGAGGGATAGGGTTCTTTTACTATTCTTATTACAGACATGACACAGGATAATAAAATGTGCCTCGAGCAATAACCACCGGACCGGGCGACCTGGTTGAATCCTTAGCGTTATTCCTGCATGCGGGGCTCTGCAGGTGTAAACAGATTTTCCGTAACGGCTCGTCAGACCAGAATGAATAAAGAATAACTAGCCAAGTATTATTATATGGATGAGAAGATAGACTCCTCTACAAGAAAAAGCAGCCTCGAACGGGAATGAAATCTTTGGAGGTTGCAGGAGAAAAAAGGCTTTGGATAGAACAGCCCAAGGCTATCAGCGCTGGAGACACTGACAACTCAGAACTGGAAGAAATTACGGGGTTACCGTCCATGTGACCAACATCGAACCTGATAAGGACACGGAGGCTTTATAAAGGGACCTGGCTGAACAAAAAAAAATCAAGCAGCGATGCTGTTACTCAAGAAAGATTTAGCGGAGGAAATGGACAAAAGGAGAACGGTACGAATAAGATGGGCACCCTCTCGTATCACTAAAAGAATACACATCCGCAGATGCCATAGATGCCTGGGTTTTGGATACAAGATATAAGAGTGAACTGGAAAGGATAGGTCCAGGAACTGTATGGCATGTGGAGCTGAGGGACACATGGCAAAGAAGTGCAACAAAGATACCTTCTGTACAGCATGCAGAAAGGAAGGTAACAGGGATGACCAGATGAAGAGTCCAAATTTCAAAAAACTGGTCAATGATAAAAGGAAGTTATCCAGCTACAGGAAGGAAAATCACAAAAGAATACTAAACAGACAGACGCCCCACGTTGGGCGCCAGATGTGGATCCGGTCGACTTGGCCAATTTATATAGTTTTAGTACTGTCAAACTCTCGTTGGTATAATATCTGATCACTCGAATAAATTGGCCACATCTGTTTCATTTGCTCCTACAACCCCGAAAAACCCTAAGATAACGAGATCCTTAGCAACAGTACACAAATCAATTGAGTCATTTTTGAGATTAGTGTGAACAAACAAACATACCAAATATTTCAAAAATCCCCAAATATTATCTTTCTCAAATATCATTCATGAACAGTCGTGATCAATTACACTTTTGTTATATGAATTGATATAGGCTAATATTATGTACAAATTTTGCAAAAAATAGTATAATAAATCATTAAAAACAAGGATTATGATATATATTCATAATTTTTGTGGAATCTTTGGAATACATTTAGGGCCGACACTTTGCGTCCTTGTTTAAACCATGATAGCTAAATCAGAGCCGTTGAATCATTTATATTCAGCAAGAGTCTGTGATATAATAAATTTACCTTGAACTTTCATATTGTTAAATTGATAAGCTTTTTAAAGACAATGATCAAGAAATAATATACTTCAATTTTTGAGAAAGGTTTTGGCTTCACACTTCTCCATATAGAGATACATAAAACATTGAATAATCAAACTATATTTTTTGATTGATAATAGAATAGAATATTTATTTCGCACACTTGTATGGTACAAGTCAAAAGGAATAGTGTACATTTTCATCCCATTACATCGGGAAGTGATTTGTTAAAAACATTAAAAGGATTACGAACAACATATAACATATTGCTAGACAGTTATCTCTTGAAAGTGCCCTCATCCACATCTTCCAAACCATATGGTTCAGCTGCAATTAGCATTTGTTTTAGTTTGTGTTTAAATACATTGTGCACTTTAATGTCTTTTATGTTTTCAGGAAGTAAGTTGTAAAGTTTTAGACATTTATAAAAATAGGTTTTACAATGTACACACTGATTTTTTTCAGTAGTACATTGCTAATGTTATCTTCCCCTGATGAATATTTATTTTTAAGGCCATTTATAATGTCTAATACTTCGATTTCTGTAACTTCTGATAAGTAAATTGAGTTTAAAATTTCTGGCACATTTGCCAAGTCCAAACTACACAGAGTATTACCAACATTTTCTGCGGCTGCCATGACGAAAAAATCATTCATCAGATTACTAGCCTCTTGTGGGTAGACTATCAGTCTGTCTTCGATTTTTATTCCTTCGAAAGAATTTTCTAAAATGACTTGCCTGCCTTTCTCAGTGTTGACAATACTCCAAATCGTCCTTGACTTGTTGTCAGAAAGTGCAATTTTTTCATTATATTAGATGATGACATGCCCACCTTAAAACATAATTAGAAGATAGAAAGATAAGAATATTATTCAGGTAATTACATATTTTGATGATTATATACTTCGAATCATAAATAAGCCATTTTAAAGGCTGAGCTACCTGAGCAGATCTTGAGTTACAGTCATCAACCTATAAACAACTTAGATGTTGGCTGAGCTGTCATTCATAATAAAGCAAACACTCATAATGGTAATGTGAATAGAAATAGTACAGATAGTTGAAAGGAAGGCTGGTGGAAAGAGAGAGTGACAGTCAGAGAGAAGGTGACGCTGAATTGTTAAACCAATTCAAGGTATTAACTACAATAGGATGTAGTTTATATCTATAACCTACAGAAAACTTCGATTCTATATGAACTTTGTTCATATGCAGTTTTCAATGCATCATAGTTTTGATTTAGATGTTCTTTCAGTCTTGACCTGAATTTGTGTTTATTAGAGATTGCTCTAATTTCTGTAGGAACTACGTTTATTAGTTTTGGGCTGGTATAAATCTCTGAGTGCGAGTTAGTCTACAGAGAGGGACATTCGCTTATTGATGAAGTTTAGCTCGGGTTTCATAATTATGACTCACGCTGGGGGTAGGGTTATTATGTATCCATAGTATGCAGTGATGAGTTTATAATTTTCTCACAACAAATAAGTCTGATTCTTTGTGTAAAACTACAGTGGAGTACCTTTCTTCACGATTGAAAAAAAAAAGTTAAAATAGTATTTTGCATTACCTCTACATTATGTAACAGGTTTTTGCTGACACCACCCCATATTATGATGCAATACCTCAGAACTGATTCGGCGAGTGAGTTACATATCATTATTAGTAGCTTTTTATTATCAAGACTTTCAACTTGGTAGAATTTATAAGATAATTTGCTAAGTTTTTCAACAGTCTGATCTACATGTTCGTCCCATCGCAGATGTTGGTCTACATATACACCAAGATATTTCATGTTGTTTACCTTTTCAACTTCAAGACACATACATATCACTTGGGTTTGGCAAATTTTGATCAAGCTGTCAAGTTCTCGGATTCTCAATTGAAAGATAATTTCTGTTAAATATAATTCAATATGGTCTTAAAGAACCCACCCTCAAACTTCAGTACAGACTAAATACTAAGATACATTTAAAAAGGATACTTTTACTAAGGAAAGCATATTTTATGGTAGACAACTCTTCAACGGATATATCTATGAAGCAAGCTATAAGAGCTGTTATCATCCCAATTAAAAGGAAAATAAACCATCTGGCTGTACTTTTCTGAACTATGAACTTGTAACCTTTTTTCCTTTCTTCATCCAATAATAAATGGTTTTCACAGATGTCATAATCCAAACTCTGAAAAAAAAATAATTTCTTATAAATTTCGAGGTAACTTCAACAGTTCACGATGTTCTTAAAATCACAGACCATTCCATTATATCTGTAAATTTGATAAATAATTACACAACTACAATTAGATATAAGAATAAAATACTTTGTCTAATTTCCACTTACTTAATGTATTGATATTAATACGACCAAGGTATTGGTTTTTACACCATTGTCAAGTGTTCTAGCACTACTGACCTAAATAGAAATATCGGAGTAAGTATATACATATCCGATAGTAGGTAATGAGAAATATACCTACATTCATTAATACCAACTACATAAACTTCAAACTGTGATTAATCGCGTTGTCATCTTTATAAATTCAAAAGTGGAGACCTACACAAATCTGTTTGTTCATTAAGGGTTGGTTCTATATTTTGAGTTTTCAATTGATTTATTGATTTTCATGGCTTCCAACAAATTCATTTTCCTTCTTTTACTACATGTATGTAAGATTTTCAGGTTTTCCTCACTTATTTTGTGGTTTGTTTCTTGTAGATGTTCATACATAGAAGATTTTTCATCTACACCAATGTGTTCACGGAGTCTTACTTCGAAATTTCTGCCGGTCTGGCCTGTATATACTGCAGAGCATTCACTACACCCTATTCTATTTATGCCAGATTTCTTCATTCTGTCACGGTTTTGCATTAAATATGATTTTGCCTAAATTATTGTTACTTATGAAAGATGTTATTATGTTAATATCACAAATTCTACAACTAACGCAATTGAGCCACACAGAAATCTTAATTCAACCAATATGGATAAAATCCACCTTGAGCTAATATTAGTTAACTTCCTGTTGGATTGTGTAGATGTAGATATTTTCTATGAATTTCATAAACTGCAACTCACGATTTGATCTCCACAAACTTTATTTGAAAAATATATCACATCAAATCGTGAGTTGTAGTGTATGAAATTACTATGGATCTTCATCAAGTAACGGCCGAATAAATCAGAAAAAAAATTCTATGAAGATTTCAAAAAGCAGTGTGAATCAGTAGTAATAAAATTGCTCCCATGAGGAAATTGGTTGAAAAAACTAATATCCCTTTGTTTGATTAGGAAATGAGACGTAAAAGTGAAAAAAAGAGACATAGCATACAGGACATTCCAAAACTAACAAGTCTGATGTCAAAATATTGAGAAATGAGTCTGTTATCTTATTAAGAGTAAAAAAAAACAACAGTAATTCTATGATAAAGTAGATCTCAACAAGAATAATCCCAAAGCAATGTGAAAATCCCTAAAATAATTGGTTGATACAAAAACTAAAGTCTCTTGTTTCGATGGTGGAATTCAATTTAAGTGCCATGATGTGGTAAAAATAGTATGAGAAACGCAGGAAATTGCTGAGCTATTCAATACGTGTTTCATTAAAAGTATTGAAAAAATATTGAACTCAATTGAAAATCCCCCAAAATAGAATAGCCTTACCACTGTTCACAGTTACTCTTCTGAATTCGAACAAATTCAATCATCTGAGCTTTCTATAATCATACATGAACTGGAGAGTGAGACTGCTAGTGAAATAATTGACACTAAATTCGTAAAACAGACTTTTGGAGTTTTTGGTCATATATTATTACACTTTATCAATATCTCACTATTTTAAGGCACATTTCCAATCAGCTGAAAACGAGTATTTTAACCGCTGGTCAGAAGGTGGAAAACACTAGCAAAGCATGGGAGTTCAGACCAATCAATACATTAACTGGCTTTAGAAAATATCATTCAAGCGAAGCATCACCGCAGTTAACCATAATAAAATTGAAGAAATCAATTGATAATGATGATAATGTAGTTGCAGTTTCCTTAGACTTGAAAAGAGCTTTTGAAACTATTGATAAGTTAAAAGCTATTGGTATACAAGGTATAAGGAACCATGGGAACTAAGATAAAATTTCCAGAGGAGGGAAATTCAAAAATATTTATTGATGGTAATGGAAATATGACTTTCAGTAAGGCAGTTGGGAAAAATTACTCTATCGCCAAAATCACTTATGACTATGAAGCCTTTAAGAAACATGATATAGTTGAAAAGAGCTTTTGAAACTATTGATAAGTTAAAAGCTATTGGTATACAAGGTATTGTATTGAAATGGATCAGGGACTACCTAGCAGATCACAAGCAGATCATCAAAGTGAAAAATGTATTCACCAATAACTTTGTTGTATCACAGGGAAGTGTCTTGGGTCCTTCATTGTTTCTATACTATATCAATGAGTGTGATTTTCTCAATCTACTTGCAGATGACACGTTACTTAGTGTAAAAAACTAAGTTTATCTATTAAATACTTAAAACGACAATTGTATCAATTTTTAAAAGAATTTGACAGATAGTCTAAAATGTGTATTGTAAAAAAATTATCCAATTTAATTGTATGCATGACCCAGTATTTTGCATATAGTGGCTACCACATAAGAGGTAGATATATGCTATCGCGGACTTTCATTTAGAACTATCTAAGTTAAACAATCTTACGGTATATTATCTACATGTAACTCCAACCGTATAGGCAACATACACCAACGTACTTAATAAATTTCTCAATTTGTGAATATGATATAGTCTATAAAGCATGGTATGCACAAGTAAGTATTACCAGTTTCCAAACAACAGATCCAGAAAATTAAATTAATTATGGGGGCCACAGCTGATTAACAGAAAAACAGAATAGGGAATTACATTTGAAGTGGGCACCTATATAGGGTGGGTAGAGAGCAACTACACCTACCAATTAAACAAGAAGGTCTGGACCTAACAAATTTTGAACTGAAAGCAAAATCGCTGTTTGTTAAAACTTTACAAAATTCGTGGGCAACCTGTGGAGTCAAAATCTCATATAAGTCGTACTTAAACGTTATGCATATCAGATGCATATCAAAATATCAAGGCATCCCTAGAATTTGTATCAGTCATAAAGTAGGTTTATGAACAATTCAGAGTAAGATCATCATAGTCTGAGTTCGATTATGAATGCAACCTTGTAGGTATTACAAAGATTCTGATAATTTCAATTTCACTATCACAACTGAGTTTTAGTTCGTCTAGTGTGTATTTCACTTAAATGAATTAAATTCATGTTCCACTTTTCAACCGACATGCTTTTTTGATATACAGATTATCTCAATAAAATGCCCTTTTTGAAAAGTAAAACAGAAAAGGGGTCAAAATAAAAGAAGAATGCTTCAAAAATTACTTGTCAATAAATTGAGACATTTTTCCATGAGTCATCTACCCCACTAGGAAAAAACTACTCATCAGTAAAGTGCAGTTTGAACAAAATCATAGTTTTCAACTAGAAATTAATTTCATTTCAAAAACAATTTATACTAGCTTCATAAATATATTACTACCTCCTCAACTTCTATTTACCTCTAAATTGGCTGATAAAACATTAAGCGATCCTGTTTGAATGTTTCCTTCTGTAACTTGTACTCTTCTACGTACTGATCCTACTAAATTGGTTTCTTCATTTGTTGTAATTATATCCTCAGTATCATCATTATTAATGGACACGATATTCTGTAAGAAATTATGTTTGGGGTAGTTTAGCGAGTGGATTGGATATATTTGAAGGCACAGAAAATTTATGGACAAAGCAGTCAGAACATAGCAGGTAGCTGAAGCTGCCTCATGTTGACTCTAGTCATATCTCTCCTCCGAGGTGACCTAACCGAAACCACAAAGTATAACTGGCTTCTGTTGATGATTCCTACATTTGTGTTGTTCCTGGAACCAAGTGTTGCCTAACCTTTTCTTTGGCTATACCATACTGATGACAGCTAATGAGCTAGAAACACATGTCAACATGTGTCTGCTGTTTGCATATTTTCTGAGTGCTTCGCCTGTAAATTTTCCCTGCTATTGCTTTTTCTCCATTACTTTCCTTTTTTAGAATTAGGAAAAACTTGTATTTCAAGATATGAGAAATGTAGGTTATTCCAATTTTTTTTCAGGTATAAAAAATGTTGTAATAAAGTGTTCATTATCCATAACCAACCCTGGTAAATCCCGGAATTGAAACATTTTCCGAAGAAGCCATGGAATCGTCTTCTCGTGAAACTAACATCTCTCAACTTTTGGGAACTATAAAAATAATTTATTGATTGAATTTCACATTGTCATCCGCATGAAATCTCTAACGTTGTAAACTAAAAATCAACATCACAAATTCAAACAAAGACATAGGACATTTTATTCATAACATCCAGACGAAGTGCGTCAGTGACAGGTGTTGTAGTGTCAATCTATAAAAGTTAGGTTATTTTTTCCGCCAAATTCCTCTACTTTTTTTTTAAATTTTTCTATCCACATGACGGCTCCAGGGCACAGAACTTATCTGTGATAATTTCTAATGAGTATCTATTAGTTCTGTGCATAAAACAATAAGCAACGTTGACATTTGCACAAATGAGTGCCAGTGGCAGTTGCTCGTTTTAGGTTATGTTCATGTTATTGTTTATGTTTTTACCAAGTCTAAAATCTGAAACTCAACTTGATATCCATGGATCTTAATTCCCAATGTGGGTTCATTTCTACAAAATACAAAGAAAGTCAATAATTTTTTGACTGATTATAAAAACTCACTTATGAATTATCAGTATTAGTGTAGTGGTACCCTCAAAATGAATATGAGTAAATGTATTTTAGTTTTTGTACCAAATACTTTAGAGTACCACAAAAATGGGTTTTTAAAGGGAGACTATAAAGAATTTGATGATGCAGTAGCTTATTATATTACAAGTGATACAACAGAGAAAACTTCTAATAACTCCATAGGAACCATGGGAACTAAGATAAAATTTCCAGAGGAGGGAAATTCAAAAATATTTATTGATGGTAATGGAAATATGACTTTCAGTAAGGCAGTTGAGAAAAATTACTCTATCGCCAAAATCACTTATGACTATGAAGCCTTTAAGAAACATGATATAGTCGATGATAGTAATGTTTATGGGAAACATTTAAAGTTTATTTCAGATGAAATATATAAGAGTAGACCTTGGCTTAGTGATAACGGAAAAAGAAGCATCGGAAATACTGTATTATCATTTGTTCTCTGCATATTAATTTTACTGATGAAGCTCACCACCAAACTGAAAATAATTCTTTCTTATTCTTCAACTTTCTCACATTTTGAAGACAGTGTTATAACATCAAAGTGGTTTATTGAAACCATGTTATGTGAGAAACGATTCACCCCTAAACTTGGGAATATTTTTGTAGCAAAAATTATTGATTTGGTAATTGGTATAGTTTTGTTGAATTGGTTGTTAAAGAATGAAGATGGAATATCAATGTATGTTCAGAACTCTACAGAAGTAAGTATCACTTCACTTATTACCTATTATTTGTTCAAACTCCTACTTTATTATGGACTTTCAATATAACCAGTTTATAACAAGTTGGTAATTAAGTATTTGAATTCAATAAGATAAGCAAAGTAGACGTTTTAAATTACATACTTTATGATGCAGGATTAACTGAAAAAGGAAAAAAATATTCTCGACCTTTAAAATTATAGCAATGAAAAAGTTATCAAATCCCATTCTAAAAATGTTCATAACTTGTCAATACTTCAGACTCAGTAATCAATGATTTCCAAAATGAGTAAGTATCAAATTGGTGACCAGCCACAAATTAACTCTGTGACCTGAATTCGATTCAATTCAAAATATAATTTAAAGAAATCGAAAAAATACAAAGACATAATCATTGAAATCAACTTCCATAACTATTACAGTTGTACTCAGTTGAAATTATCAAAGAATTCAGCTAGTCTATTTTTAATAGTAATTAAATTCTTGTGGTCTCTTTTCTTCCTGGCTTGCCTTAAGTTAAGAGGAAGATATAACTTCTTACTTAAATTGAAAGGATTATATTTTCAGGAATGATTAATTTTTGGGATAGAACATTTTTGGCTTTCTACTACTCCATCTTGATACAAAAAAATGTGGGAATCTTCCACAGAAACGAAGGCAGAAATCAACTTTGAAAGAAGTCACTCTATACATAGATGTGTAGATCATGCAAAAAAGTAACTTTCAGACACAAACTGGAAGAAAAAAGCCCTCCCGAAACAGCTACTTTCATAGAAATATATTGAATTACACAAAAAGAACAATTATTTTGAAACAAATACTTACAAGTATACAATATACTAAATGAAAGGTAAAAATTTCACTTACATGGAACACTGCACACAGATTTGTACTGAAGAGCCCTACGGCGAAACATCGATGTCTACCAGTGAGGATGACATAGTTCGATACTTCTATTACAAGATCTGTTTACTTTTCTCAAAAAATATTTATTTATTCATCAGTTTCTATTCTGTCCCTTTCAAAGAAACCTCCCTCAGATATAATGTGGTCTTTGGTTATAATCTCCAGACTTTTCAACTGCAACTGTGGCAGTCATCCAGTCATCTTCAGTGGCGTGGTCGAAGTACTCTTTTTGGCGTGTCAACTGAAACTGAGCTCCAGTTGTACAATAAAATAAGTTGAAATCTTCTGAGTTCTGCTTTGGCTTTTTGACTCAGCCTTATGCTTCCCTTATGCCTTATGATGAAATTAACGCAATTTAAAACAATTATGTCGATAATTATGTTGACTTTAATTACAAATGGTCGAAGGATTTTAGCAGGCAGAAAATCAACCCTCCCCTCGTTAATAATAAAATACAACATACATTCAAATCTATCATGAATTGGAGAAAAAAACCTATATTTCAAAATAGTTTGTATGTAATATAACAATTGTTAAAAAATAATAAACGTTTCGAACACTTTACAAAAAAACAACGTTGATTACATTTAGGGCGGCTTTTCGAGTTGAAGGATGAAGTGAATAATTTCGACATAAAATATAAATACGTACACAGGTTTCTGAAAGACGTTGACACAGACACGAAGGGATTACCAATCTGAACTGTCTGTAAATCGTTCTTTATAATTAAAAAAAAAACAATGAAAGAAATGAGAATTGTATTTGGAAAAAGCAGTCGGTTAATGATTCCAAAGTTAGTTATTGTTTGGTTTTTTCTATTAGATTGAAATATGAGGTGTGTAAGTTTTCCATATTCGACCTTTTGTTAACGCATTTTGTTATTTTTAAAATTCGCCTGTGCTAAATGTGTAGCCCTGTATTTGAGATTGTTGATGATGTTTATTTTTTGTGTCATTGAGTGGATAGAGTGGTAGTTTATAAATCTTTCAGTGTACGTTGGTTTATGGTACCAATCAGTTATAATTTTGTTGTTAGATTTTATCAGCAAAACACCGAGAAAAGCAATTCTATTATTTTTTTCTTTTTCAACGGTGAACTGAAGTTTGGGATGATAACTATTGAATGTTGTTAACATTCTATCTACGTTTTCTTTTTCTATGCACAAAACTATATCATCAACATATCTTTTGAAAAAAATTATCGGAAAATTACATTGACGTAGACATTTATTTTGTAAGTCAGACATAACAATATCATAGCAAATTGGTGATAAACAGTTTCCCATTCCCAGGCCGAAAATCTGTTTATAGAAAACTACATTATAATTAAAATAGCTGTTGCTCGTTACGAACTGGAATAACTCAATGAATGCTTCTGAAAGGATGGTAGTGTGAGGTTTTATTAAATGCCATTTTTCATTAACGAGATTTATTACTATATCTATTGGTATGTTGGTGAATAGAGATACTACATCCATTGATATCAAAGTGAAGATGAATGAATGTAAGATTTTTCTTGCCCTTTTTGGGAATAGGCCGAACGCAAGCAATCTTCCAACAAGAAGGAAAAACCCCATTCTTGTAAGACAGGTTAGAAAGTCTGCAAAATACTGATGCGAGTTCATACGCACACTTTTCAAGTACGATGACGAGCACTTCATCAGGACCAGACGCCTTGTTGATATTGAGCTGTTTCAAAATTCTCCCGACATTCAACACGTTTCTGTTTTTCCTTAAAACTCTGAAATAAATTATTTTATGTGAAATTTAAATTTTGTACTTTTTCAGGATCTCATATCAAATCTTAAAGGTCTGCTGCTGTACTTAATGGGATCTCCGATAGGTTTGAAATTAAATTATGCCTTCAATAAATCATTGGGGCAGTTTTTCTTCTACCATATATCATTATGGAGAATTTTTCTACTTGGGTTGCAGCCTCTTTTTGTTGCCTACTTCCGCTTACTTGTATTGCCGGGAGCATTAGGATTATCGTTTCAGATTTCCATGATTTCAGACCTGATATCCATAACGACTTTCCATGTCTACTGCATATACGTATATGCGACCAGGTAAATCAATATCACTTCAACAAATAATAGGTTGCTTCAAAAGTTTTGTCCGTTTTTATGAGACTCTTTTGGACTGTAATGTCTTAGTGAATACGTATTCAATTCAATCGAAATAAGCGTAATTTGAATAAGTGCACTTTTGCCAACGTAACACAAGTCAGTTAATTCCTTCAGCATAAAAATTGGGTGCTCGGGATTCGATAAAGTAGACGAAGGCCGTTTTTGCTCGGTCCTGATTGACGAATGTTCTACCAGTGAGAAAGTTATCGAAGTGTTTGAATAGGTGGTAACCATTTGGGGTGTATGGTGGGTAGGACTGAACTTTGACACTCAATTTGTTTAATTGTCGGGTGGTGATTTGTGGAACGTGCGTTGTCGAGCTGACGCAGCAGTCGGCACATTTCGTTGATTTCCCCACAATAGGCCTCTGATGTGGTAGTTTGGCCTGGTTGTTGAAAGTTATAGCGAATCACACCAGGCGCTGTCCAACTTACAACGACCATGGTCTTTTTTTGGTAGGTTTTCGCCTTTGGGAAGTGTCTGGGTGGCTCATTGTTGACCAACCACAGTCCTGAACGTCTCATGTCGTAGAAGATCCACTTTTTATCACACATAACAATTCGATCCAATAAAAGGATCGTTTTGGTTGCGCAAAAGCAAAGAACATACCTCGGAACGTAACAATTTCTGTCGTATTGTTCAAATCGTGGGGAACCCACTTTTTGAGCTTTCTGACATTTTCAATACGTTTCAAACCATCAAAAACCACATTGGGGCTGACACTCAGTTCTTCCGCCATCCCACACATTGTTTGTGATGTGTCGGTTTCCACCAGAGTCATCAATTCCTCGTCCTGGATTACTGTAGGTCGACCACTTCGTGGTTTATCTTCGAGGCTAAAGTCCCCGCGACGAAATTTCGCGAATCAACGTCAAATAGTGCGTTCATTAACATTATCATTGCTAAATGCTTGGTTAATTTTTCGGGGTGTTTCGGTAGCGCTTTGGTTCAATTTGCATTAGTAGAGAAAAAGAAGCAAAAATGAACATCATTAATGTATACAGTACAAAATTGTCTATCGTCAAGTATATACCACGACACAATAGAATAAATATTTATTGGGATATGGAGCTACAAAAACACATGACATTTAAACGGACAAAACTTTTGAAACAACTTAATATCTGGGAGATCTTATGTCTGAATGTCATATTTTCACTGAAATAAAATGAGCTTTGTTCAGTTCATGATAAATGAGAGTAATTTTTTATATTATCATTGAGGTGCAAAGGCAAAAACTATAGGTAATCTGTTTAAAAAATCTGTTCAAAATCTGTTTTCCGTTAACCAGCTGTCGCACCCTTAACGACAACTCTCAAAAGTCAAAACTTGTGCGAGCTAAGGACTAACGAGGTCTTGCCTTTCAACGTGTGATTACTATTTATTTTGCTTAACGAAGAAAGTTTACTAAGGAAATCAAGAGTAAATTATCTTTTTCTCATCGCTCACTTGAGCTAGGACAGAGGCTATATTATTCACGAATGGCCGATAATTATGATATCAAAAATAGTGATGAATAATTTTCATGTCTTTTCATACGAATATTTACATTATTCATATTATAAACCATCTGGGATGCGAGGTTTAGACAAGACAAGAAAAGACAATTTATTTTCCACTGAATGTTACAATACAAGTACCATACATTATGGGAATCGTCACTAATAAGTAGGTTATAATAATATTACAATTTCACTCTTTGGTCATAAAATAAAATAAATTAATATAAATAAATAGGTACATGTACACACTTTAAAAATTAATAAATGAAATATAAGTTTATCAATACTAATTAGAATTATTTATTAAAAATTTGAATCAAAAGACTACTGTTTCATGTGGTCCGAGTCAAAATTTTCATTCAAAAACTCCTGAACTGAATAATAGCATTTCTGTACTAAAAACTTTTTTAGATAATTTTTAAATAAACTTGTGCTGAGTTCTCTAAATTTCTTAATTTCACATATTTTATTGTAGCATTTGATTCCTATATAATTGGGATTCTCCTGTCCGATTGATAATCTAGAGAAACATAAATTGATGGTGTCCTTCTGCCGCGTATTATGATTGTGAACATCCTTTCTTGTTTTGAGAGAGTTATGTTTNCTTTTATTGTTATGAAGTTGTTTTGTTGGAAATGATAACTCAAACAGATCAAGGAATTTATTGTAAAACAGTGAGAAGGCTTCTTGACAGTCTGCTTCTTCATCTAATAATTTGTTCCAATCTACAAGCAACACACCTTGTCTGAAATTTTGGATATTATCGGTACTGAATATTCTACCCGTTGTAATAAAGTAATCACTTTTCTGGTTAATATTAAAAGATAATAGCTGATATGTATGATCCGATATTTCTGTGTCAATTACCTGTGCCGAGTAGTTTGCAACATTAGTAAAGATATTGTCAATGCACGTTTTACTGAATTTTGTAATACGCGTAGGGACGTTAAATGTTTCTTTTAGATTATACTCATTAAATAAATTGAGCAGCATTTTCTTGTTTGAGCGAGAAGAAAGGAGATCCACATTCATATCACCACATATCAGATAGGAATAATTTTTAAAAAGGGTTTGCAATCGAGATTCTCTCATCTAACACTCAATTTGTTTAAAAAAAATATAAATATGTTCTATACTAACCTAGGTTAGTATCATTAGCTAATGATAACGGTTCAGTTGTTGAAAAACAAATGTACACAGCCTGTACTAAATGTAGGTACATATACAGGGTACGGCGCGATGACCGTTGGTTAGCCGTATTTTGTTGAATAATAGAATTCATATTCTGAAAATTGCCAACTATAGTTTTTTAATATTATACTATATTCAAAACATTAGAATTATAAAACAACAAAAATTAATTGGCGCTCAGGGGCGACTCCATCGTTTCCAGTGGCGTATTTGCTTTTTCAGCTGCAGGAAAACCCGGAAAAACCTGCAGCACCACTTCATCTGAAGATCTTAATCTGCCAATGTCCTCTCTCTGATAAAACAAAATGTAGGGTATCTCCAGAGGCTACATTACTTCGCCAGAACACTTCGTGACACGACTATCGTCCAACGTAAACCAGTCCATTTCGTCTTTGACCAAGGCATAATAATGACCAGATTCAACGCCAGAACCACAGTGAACAATGACTGCATGAAGGTTATAATAGTGGTCTGCTATATTGAAGTGTTCATCTACTTCGAACCTTCGTAACAGTTTGGTGCTTCCGTCCGAGGTTGAGTCATGTTTGAAGATCATCAGTGTTATTATTAGATTGACTGGTGCCTCAGCTATACTTGTTATCTTATAAAAGTCAGTTAGTTCGGCGCATGTTTGACAATGCAGTCGATCATCACCTGTTAAAAGTTCCATTTTCAGATGATTTAACAGTAAGCTTTGCACGGACTGGATTTTTCCAGCTAAAGATTTACAAACACAAGAAGAGATAGAATGTACAGAATCATTCAATCTAGAGCGGTCAGAAGTATTGATTCTGCTATATTCCTGCTCACGAAGATTATTCAATAAGAACCCCAAGAATTCGGAACAATCCTCTTGTTGTCCTAACGAGTATCTAGTGGACTTCAAAGACTCCAGGAAATCGGTTGGAGAGAAAGATGATACCTTCTTACGAAACTGCAGCTGCATGAACAGGTGTTTGAGTTTGGTGAATAAGTAGGAAATATTCTCGTTCTCGTTCATCATTAAAACCTCGTTCTTGAAATTGTTCCTTCCTTTCCTAAATTACCTAACCCAATTTTCTTCTCAAGATTTTCAGGGCAACTGTCTACTGATTCGTAAGGAAGAACGTGTTTCACAGAATCTGTATCGGAACCATTTCCCAAGCTGCAATCGATCCTTCCAAGTGATGAAGGGTTTCGTAGAGGGATCGATTCGGCTCTTGCTTCATGAAGCTCTTCCACTGAAAGGGAACCAGAACCACGAGAACTGCAACTCGTATTTGGGGGGCAAGAGGCAAGAATGACCTAAGCCCATTGACCACACTGCAAAAGAAGAAGGTGGATCAATCACTTGCGAATTAACCTTAATAGGAGACTGATGAATATCCACATATCTTGGTTTGTTTCGAAGATATTTTAGTTCCGTACTGAAATAAGGGCAATGCATAATCTCATCAAAATTATGTGAAGCCAACACGTTCTTTTGATATCTTCCCAATGTCAGCTAACTCACGCAACTTCACTCACGCAACAATCGTTCAGTACGATTTTGTGGATTTTCTTTGTTTTCTAGTGGTACTGCTTCATTTGGACGTCCACTGTGTTCTGCATCATCGGTTTCTCTACAATGAAATCATTTAATTTGTTCATGAAAAGATTAAAATCAGAATTAGGTGATCTATATATTGCACATATTATGGTTTTTCCTATATGAGGTACTTAAACTTCTGTACAACATACTTCAAAAAGTTTTTCAGTACATACTTTGCTAAAATCAAGTTTTCGAAATGTTAGATCTTTTTTTGCGAGTATTCATACACCACCATGGTTGAATTCTTTTCGACAATATGAGAGATAATTGTTTACCTCTGTTTTTGAAACTGAGAATAATGCCGTTACCCACATTATTTTTTTACAACGTTCTCATAGAAATTCATGAAAAATCAACTTCATTAATCAAACAATCATACCTTCACGACTATGATACCAGACATTGTAATAAATTTCGGACAAACCGCTATCATTTGAGTAAATCAAAAAAGAACACAGTGAATTTCAACCTCTACAACTATCTTCCCTACAGTTTCCAATTCCAATTCAAGAATACGTTGATCATTTTAAATGTTTATAATGTCAACATATTCTTATATTTTTGTATTTGTGTTTCTCGTTTGTTTTTATAATATTTTGATTGTTAAAAAATTACTTTCATGCT